TCCTGGAACAAGAGACTGAGAGATGTAATGATTATGGGAATGCAAAATAGCTGGAAAAGATCAAACTGAAATAGAGTGGAAGAGAAGTGGCAGGTTTCTGGACTTGACTTTTATTTGACTGATTTGGAAATCATGCAAAAAATAAGAATAGATATATAGCAGATGGAAATTAAGGAGTGAAGTGGAATAGGAAGAAAAAAATCACAGAAAGTACAAGATCAAAGCAATTCTTTGTGGAGAAATGTGGGGGGAAGAGGCTTGGAAATTCTACTATTTGTGGAGGCCTAAATTAGAATTTCAATAAGAAGGAGTGGAAAAAAGATGAAGAAGTAGAGAAAATTACAGAGGATGATACAATCACTTCGGATGCCTCATAAAGATTTCCCTTCCTAACTTGCTTCCACAGACCCTGACCCAACCACCTCATTTGTTGTTTCAAACCTAATACTACTTATTTCAAAGTATATATGGATTTCTGAAGAAGTAATGGTAGGACTGCTTTTGTATTTATCGAAGACAAGGAGATGGCTTTGACCAGAGATCCCATCAATTCAGATCTGAGCAATTAAAGTAAGAATGGTTAGGAGGGTTGGGGTTTTTGGGGGGGGGGGGGTTTATACATGTAGATGTATAACATTCTATAATGTAAATTTAGCTAACTTCGTGACAATTTAATTTGGGGGAGTGATTATTGTTTCTTATTGGATATTAATGTGTGTAATTATTCTTCAATAGTACTTTTATAGCAAGGTATATATTTATAAATTCAATTTATATTTAACTGTATTTCAAACTCTATAATACATTACAATTATAGAACATTTAAGTACTGTATCATTTCACAGAATATGAGACAAGATATTAGAATGAGAGAGAACTCTAATTTATTTATGACTGTGCATGGAAAAATCTATTTGTGGTGAGAGATGTATGCATCTCATCATGTTAGCTAGAACTCTTTTTGCCTTATGAATTCTGATGAAGTAGCAGGATATTCTTTTGGTTGTCTCCAATTATTTGTAGGCTTGATTCTACCCCCACCCCCACCCCCATCCCCCTACAGTTCCTTGGGAAGGAGATCCAGCACAGTCAACACTTCACTATATATATATGAATCACTGAACTAGGGCTGCAGAAAAATCTTGGTTTACGTAGGAAGAACCTGGCTAAAGAGAAATACACATAAAGACTTACGAAAAGAAAAGAAAACATACATACATACATACATATTTTCTGAGGTTTTCGCAGGTGTTTGTATATAGGTCTTTGGTTATTCGGGTTTTCTCCCGCGTAAAATTGGAAGTGTATTGGCGACGTTTCGACGAAGTCTCATTCATCATCTTAAGGCTGGTGTTTTCGGCTTCGTGCTTCTAGGAGCAATGTGTGATCGCAGCTGTTTCTTCCTTTTAACTGCTATTGGGGGTGTGAACTGATTGCGTGGGAGCTTGGCTGTGTTCTGATTAGATGGGGGATTGGCTGTGCTCTGATTGGCTGGGAGTGTGTTCTGTTTGGGTGGGGGCTTGGTTGTGCTCGGGTTAGTCTGAGTTGTAGGGGGATTTGAGCTGGTGAGCTGCGTTGCTGTTGTCTGGCTTCGCATTCTCTGTCTTGGAGTTTAGTGGGGGTTTCTTTTTGGATTAGGTTGGTAATCTTATTTCTTTGGAATCCATTGCATGTTAGTACGTTAGTTAGAGTGTGTAGTTTGGTTTTTAGGTGTTGTTCGTCAGCTAAGCGTTTTGTTCTGGAGATGAGTGTCTTCACCTGACCAACCACTGCCTATCCAACACATACTTCATCTATAATGGACAAAAATACAAACAAATAGAAGGAGCACCCATGGGATCACCCCTCTCACCTGTCATTGCAAACCTCTACATGGAACACTTTGAAACCCAAACTCTAGAAAAATCTGATCACAAACCCAAACTCTGGCTCAGATACGTAGACGACACCTTCATAATCTGGCCACACGGGAAAGAAAAACTGGACAACTTCCTCACACACCTCAACAGCCTACACCCCAAAATACAGTTCACCATGGAAACAGAAGCTAACAACCAACTTCCCTTCCTGGATGTCTTAGTATACAGGAAATCCAATGGCTCCCTAGGACACACCATCTACCAGAAGAAAACACACACAAACTGCTATCTGCACGCACTCTCACACCACCACCCAGCACAGATCAACTCTGTAGCCAAGACACTCATCTCCAGAACAAAACGCTTAGCTGACAAACAACACCTAAAAACCGAACTACACACTCTAACGTACTAACATCTAATGGATTCCAAAGAAATAAGATTACCAACCTAATCCAAAAAGAAACCCCCACTAAACTCCAAGACAGAGAACAAGAAAACGGCAAAGCCCTCCTCCCATACATAAAAGGCACCACAGACAGAATCAGCAAGATCCTCCACAAACACAACATCAAGACAGCATTCTGCACAAACCGAAAAATATCCACCATCCTAAGAAACCCCAAAGACAAAATTGAGTTAGAAAATCAAGGAGTATATGAAATCCCATGCACTGCCTCCCCCACCACATACATCGGACAAACCAACAGAAGAATAAGTGCACGCATTGAAGAACACAAGAACTCAGTCAGAAAAGAGGAACCAACTTCTTCCCTGGTCCAACACCTTAAAGCCACAGGACATGAATTGACTTTAAAAAGACCAGAACTATCGCCAAAACTTTAACAACAGAATAATCCGGGAAGCCATCGAGATAGAAAAACGCCCACACAGCATGAATAAACGAGATGATACCTCCCGCCTACCAGCCATTTGGAAACCCACCCTTATTGACAAACGAGTCCCTAACACGAGGAATGACACCAGAGGGCCACACAGGATGTCACCACCACACATCCATGCAGAAAGCAGACTCAAACCCACACCGATGATGAGGCACGACCCCAGACCAGAAGCCAGAACGCAGCTGCATCATTAGCCACTTTAAACCACTCCAATCCATACATAAAGCAGACTGACACCCACCATGAAGATGTGGCACGACCACAAATGCGAAGCCAAACAACAGCAACACAGCTCACCAGCTCAAATCCCCCTGCAACTCAGACTAACCCGAGCACAACCAATCCCCCACCCAAACAGAACACACTCCCATCCAATCAGAGCACAGCCAACCCCCATCCAATCAGAGCACAGCCAAGCCCCCAACCAATCAAAACACACCTCCACCCAATCAGAACACAGCCAAGCTCCCACCCAATCAGTTCACACCCCCACTAGCAGTTAAAAGGAAGAAACAGCTGCGATCACACATTGCTCCTAGAAGCACGAAGCCGAAAACACCAGCCTTAAGATGACGAATGAGACTTTGTCGAAACGTCGCCAAGACACTTCCAATTTTACGCGGGAGAAAACCCGAATAACCAAAGACCTACATACACACACACACACACACAGAGACACACAAACATCTGTATTTGGGTCTTTTCCCGTGTAAGATTGAGAGTATCTTGGCGACGTTTCGACGAGGTCCCACTCGTCATCTTCAGGCTGGTGTCTTCGGCTTCGTGCTTGTGCGAGGAAAGCATGATCGGAGCTGCCGTCTCTCTATAAATACTGGTGGGGAGGTGTGGGGTGCTGGCTTTGTCGCTGTGAGCGGGTTGGTTGCCTGTGTTGTTACATCTTGATTGGTTGATGGAGTTAATGTTTGCAAATTAGTCAGCTGTTTCGTAACATCCTGTGTGGGTGAGGTCCTTGATGTGTGCCCATTAGTCTTTTGTGTTTTAACGACCTGGGTAATGGGCTGTGTTAACATCCTGAGTTCTAGTGTCTAACCATTAAAGGGCAGCAGCGTTTATGTTTATGGGGTGTGAAACTAGTTCCCCTCCTCATGGTGCATCCTGGATAGCGCGATAGTATGAACTAAATGCACTAGCAACTGTTGGCAGCTAGACTACTCTGTATACTTTCCTGGCTCTCAAAGTTCATGGCAATGAAATCAACACTTCACTCTGACAGAGATTGATGCAAGCAGTATTGAAAGAAGCTATGATTTGCCCCTTCCTTAAGAAGATGTCCTTAAATCCCAGGCTTTAACTTTTCTTTTTTAAAGTTAATTGAGATCACGGTTGGTGTTCATCCTAGAGAAAACAGATTATTTGTCAGCCTGATCAGAGTTTACCTCTGTCTTTCCTTATACAAAAAAAAAAAAAATCTTGAGGTTTTTCTCATTTCCTCCTTTCTCAGGGATAAGCTGCTGTTTAATTAAATATAGTTGCATTGTTTCCTCATTGTATTCCTGCATTGCATCACCTCTCCTATCAGAATCACTTCTCTACTTTGCTTGGCAAATCCCTGAGGTCACCAGGTAAATCTTGCCATGTAGGATTGGCCAGAATTAGAAAATCTCCCCTGCTCTTCTAGTTGCACATCACCCTATACTGGAGAGTCTATTGTAGCAGGAAATACAGAATTCTCTGCATTTTAGGTTCACTGTCTATTGATAATGGTGGCAGATCGTGGGAATTAAACTCATGCAGAAATTTCTGATGCAAGTGATGTATAATTCATGGAGCATGGGACATCTGTTGCATCTTCTCACAGCTTCTCAGATTCACTCCTTTTTCAATGAATCAAATATTCCAAACATTTCCTTCTGCAGCCTAAAGCCAGAATACATTCCACTTCACATTCTCCTTCCCTGTGGCAAAATAGAGCAAATGGGAAGGTGGAAGAAAGAAGGGCAGGGAGGTTCCTCACAAACAAGTAGCAGCTTGACAGAATACCAAATAAATCTTCATTAAAGCAGGCAACTGCAACTGAAAGACCACTGGGTTAATTTGCTGAGTAACTGGGAAGTCCAGTTTTTAGATAAGCAAGCTGAAGACAGAAAGTTATTGGAAAGTTATGTTCAAATCCTCCATCACAATTTTGGCATCCATTACAAACCTCTTCCCCTGAAGCATCTACAGACTACTTATATGAAGCTTTTACCAAACCTAGCTGTTTCTTTAAGATTACCTGAGCAGCCTGCCTCTCCTACAGGAACATTGAGCTGTGAGGAACTGCAGATTCTGGAATCCCGAAGGGGAAGATGTGAGGAAAATGGCCTATACTGTCTGAAAGGGAGACATGTATTGTTATATATAAATACTGCAAGAGGCAATAGTTTAGTCCAATACTCTTCTGTAAAGACACATAGCACTTGAAGAACTGTAATAATTAGTTCACTCTCTCCACTTGTCCATTAAAGAACAGATGATTTGGGAATGACAAATGAATCTAATACCTGGAAAGTGGCCTTCCAAAACTTGTATGTAAATTGAGAGTCATTAAAGAACACATGATTTACTAAGGCACCCCAAAATCCAAAAACATGATCTATAAAAATTTTGCAGTTTCCTTTGCAAGGAATAAAACATATAAATAGCCATTGTAAAGCAACTGTCCTTCATTTATAGAGAATAAGAATCTGTCTGGAGGTCATCCATTCCAGCCTTGACACATGCATCCTGTTGCTGCTGCAATCCAATCTGATCTAGCAAATGTACTGTCTTCCCTTTCTGGAAGGTCTAATCATGAGGGCCAAAGTTACTTGGTTTCAGAACTCAAGGTAAACCCCTCCAAACTCGATAGCAGAAAATACGACTACAGCAACAGAGTGGTCAACACCTGCAATGCTCTACCTGACTCCGTTGTTACAGCCTCAAACCCCCACAGCTTCAATCTTAAACGGTCTACCGTGGACCTCACCCCATTCCTAAGAGGTCCGTAAAGGGGGCATGCATAAGTGCACAAGCCTGCCTACCGTCCTTGTCTTACTGTCCCCATTTATCTGTACTTACTTCCTTTGTTTATGTTCATACCTATATCTGCTATCTTGTACATGTTTGACAAATGAATAAATAAGAAGAAAAAGAATCATAATTGTAATGGATGAGCAGAGATCATATTCAAGTTTATATGGCATATTTAGAATATTGTTCTGTGAGCCATGAATATATGGTATATGATGTAAAAACTGACGGGGGGGGGGAAATGTCCTGCCTGATCTTATGAGGACTGAGGGATCACGCCTTCTGTGACCTATGCACACTTGAACTGGATGGATTGCTCCCTCTAAGAAAAGTCCCTGTTCTTGGAATGCTGCTTTTATCACTATCAACTCTTTATTGAAAATACCACCATTCTTTTCAGCTGAGATCAACGATCTGAAATAAAAGACGTACTTTCTGTCTCACTTCGAAGATATTGGTTCCTAATGCTGTTTGATGTGTTTACTTACACAACAAAAAAGAGTCATGAGATAACAAGAAGTCTTCAGTGGCAGCTGGGGAAAAAAGTTTTTTTAAATCCTATAGTGCTACTTGTTCTAGAGCAAACTATTTATTTAAACTTCTATTCTTTCTTTAAAAGTTGAGATAGCGTGCTTGTGCATACTACCAAATTAGGGATGAACATTCTATAAACATTTGCAAAGCTTCAGGAAGTCTTTTGCTGATCGTGGGGCACCTCAAGGTTCTCGTGCCACTTTGATGAAAATAGGTAAGTTTGAATCTATCTCTGAACAGAGTGGAGAGCCTTTCAAAATTGATGACAGCCTTTCAAGGTAGGTCAAGTCGGAAAACATTTACCACAAAGATACTGAGCTCTATTGTTGCAGGATATAACAGAATCTTGAAAGCCTGACAGTTTCCATCTGACCACTTATATGAAAGAGAATCAAGACAGGATTATCTTGATCTTCTTTTTCAACTTCTCCCATCCCGTATCCTTAATCCTTTTTTCACCATTTTTGACTTCCCCTTTCAAGATTATCTCCTTATTCCTCTTCACAGTCTCAATAAATCAGTAGAGTCTGCCCTAGGATGGGAATATGACCTCATTGGTTAGTCCTGATTCTCCTTTGCCATGACGTGGCTGGAGGAAATGTACCTCTCCTGGTCCTTTTAGATCTCTCAGCAGCTTTAAGCACTATGAAACTAGCTTTTTATTACCATTAATCAGTTACGACCACAAAAAGGATTAACAATTGAAAGCATTGGTCTTCAGTGATTCTGCTCCTTCCCCAGTGGGAAGTTCCAGTCAGTGGATCTGGGAATGGAGAGATCAGTCAGGTAGCCTCTTCTTTGTGGAGCATGCCAGGGCTTGGTCCTCTTTACTGTGAAGCTCTTTGAGGTACACCAGATCAGAAGACAGAATCCACCGGAATACCAAAACTATATTGATATAAATTATAATAAAAAGAATCTTGCAAGCCTGTGTGTCTATGAAGATTTTCAGAGATCCAGGTCAAAGGTGCTTTTTTCTTCAAAAGGCAACTGGACTGTTTCTTCCTCAGAGAAAGAAGTCCAGTTGCCTTTGAAGAAAAAAGCACCTTTCAAGCCTGGGCTTTTCTTTCCTCTTATACTTTTGTGAGTCGGGATGGAGGATGAGAGTGGTTTTAAATTGTGAACTTTAAATTGTAGATTTTTTAATGTTGTATGATCCAGTCAGTGCGTGCGTGTGTGTGTGTTGGGCATCAATATAAAATTATTTAATTAATTAATAAGAGTTTGCCTGAATTTCTTAATACTATCTCCGTTCCCAAGTGTTAAGAAATGTTTGTCCTTTTTGATCACATAACATTTTCTAAATATTTGCTTTAAGGCCTTCTCCATGATTCCCTATGGCTCCCTTACTTTTTAATATGTACATGAAACTCCTGAGGAAAATCATTCATCAGTTTGGAATGTGGCATATTCAAGTGGTGATGATATTCAGCTGTAAATCAGTAGACTGGGCTTTATAGGAAAAAACTATTAATGTCTTGATCTAGTGCCTGGAGGCTATGAGGGACAAAATGGCCCAAAGCTGAGTTTCTGAAATCTCCAATTATTTCTTGATGATACTATGATTGAAGGAGCAAATTCCTAAATCACAATTCTTGCTAGATAGCCAGGTGAAAGCCAAGGCCGTCGGGGCCTTGGCCTAAATATACCTGATATACTGATATACCAGGTTCAGCTTTTCCTGGAACGAGGATTTTCCAACAATGACATATGTCCTAGTCACCACTGGCTTGGAATTCTGTAATGTAAACTATGAAAGGGTGTGTTTGTAATCATATAAGTTTCACCTAATCCAAAATATTGTATCCCAGCTACAGTGACTGAGGGCTTCTACACACTGGTGATGACCATATTAACCCTATGGTCCAAGCCCTGCACTAACTTCCTAATGGGTTCTGAGTGCAATTCAAAGTCAATTTTGTCCTTTAAATCCTTACAAGGTTTCCATCTGCTCAAGATGAAGTGGTTGTCCACTTTCCAAAAGGTTAAGTGGATGGAGGATTGCACCTGCTGCTTCTGTTACTGTACCTGCTTTGTGGAATATACTTCCCCCAAGATTCAATCAGTCTTCATGTCTATGGAAATTCTCAGGCATCCAGGCCATGGTTGTCCCAAAGGTGCTTTTTCAAGAGGCAACTGGACTTTATTTTCCTTGAAGACGTTTCGCTTCTTATCGAAGAAGCTTCTTCAGTTCTGACTGAATGATGGGGAATGGAACAATTTATATTCCTTGCAGTCATCTGGTTGCTAGCACTCTGAGAGTCATTGAGGCCATTTGGAGGTTCATCTGTGCCCTGAAGATCACCTGAATAGTGCAAATGGGTGTGGAACCTTTTTGGAACTGCTGAAAGGACTTGTAAACAGGAGATTGATGGTATCCTATCGCTCCCCCACTGTTGAGGGAGGGCTGTTCAATTTTAATATAGGCCTCTCTTTCAAACCAGCAGTCCCCCCTGTCCAGAATGTGGACTTTCCTATCTTCAAAAGGGTGGCCTTTGTCTCTCAAATGCAGATGGCTGCTGAATATTGTCCTGATGAGTTTATTCTCCAATGTTGTACCATACAGATATTTCCATACGCTGCAGGAATATTTGATAACTTATCAAATATGGAAAAACAAGTTATCATTCTTTTTTGGGAATCACTGTGGGATCACAAAAGAATGTTTTCTGAAACTCACCCATGGTAGAAATAGGTGCTCTGTTTTTTGCAAGGCTAGTTTCCCACTGAGATGCTTTTTTTGAACCCGTCAGTAGGGTTTTGTCTTAACTTGGGCTAGATTTTTGGTTCTCATCCCAAAACAGGCATTCGAAAATGAGGGAAATGCATTAATATTTTTTCCACCACGTTTTGCTAAATATATAATCATTTTAAATAAAAAAAATTAAAGGTGTATCTTATAAAACTAAAACGGAAGTTGCTTCCAGACGTCTGATTGTTTGCTACCATAGACCAACACGTTTCTCCTCCTACCAAAAATCATTTCTCTTATTTCCTCACGTGCGACCATCTTTCTTTAAAAAAAAAACCCGTTCAAGCAGTTTCTCTCTGTTTGCAATTCCAAGTCTTGGCACGCTTTTGCAAAAGCGGCCAATTTCCATCCAGGCAGAATCGCAATCTCCCTCCGCCCGCCTTGCTTTCTACCCTAAATTCTCCCCGGCTTTGCTCTTCCAGCCGCTCCCTTACAGTATTCGCCGGACTGCTCTTGCTGCCTTCGGATGCACTCATTTCCTTTCGGAAATTTGCGCCCCTGGCATTAACACATAACCTCCGTTTCGCTTACCACGGGAGTGGCGGAGGGTTACTGGGCAAAGCGAGAGCCATTCCTCTCTGCCGAGAAAGCAAGCGGACGGAGAGGCGTGCTCTTCGTCGTAGCCCTGCCCTCCTCTTCGATCATGAACGTGGATCTGCGATTTCTCGGTCAGGCTGAGCAACTAAAATGTCTGCTCGATCGTTCCCGCTTGAAAAAGCAGGCGTTATCCCCATCGCCCTCCCCCCCCCCGCGCCATTCCGTGGGCAGTCTGTCGGTCGTTCTTTTCCGCCGCGGCCGCTCAGCCCCTTCGGGCATTTCCGTGGGGGCCGTTCGGTTCTTTCCGTGCACAGAGAGGAGGGAGGGGGCGTGCGCGGGGCGGGGGCGGAGGAGAGCCGAGGCATGCTCGGCGGCGCTTGCTCCCTGGCTGGCTCCTCTCTCTCCCTCTCAGTCGGCCGCTGCTGCCTGCCTGTCGCCGGGGCTGGGAGAGCCTGAGAGAGCGTGTGTGTGTTATGTGAGTGACGCGGCGGAGGTGTAGTTTGACGCGGTGTGTTACGTGGGGGAGAGAATAAAACTGCGGCGAGAGCCTAGGCGCGAACGAAAGCAGTGACGGAGCAGCCTGTAGCCGGTAAGAGGAGAAAAGCAAAGAGAAGGAAGGAAGGCGACTAACAGCCCGAGAAGAAAAACAGGGAGGGGCGGCAGCCACAGGGCCGCCACCACCAGTACCAGCAGCGGCGCGGCCGTTGAGGCGGGGTTGCCTCGCGAGCGGGTGTCGGGGGGGGGGGGGGGGGGGGACGGCAGTCGCGGGGAGCGAGAGGGAAGGAAGGAACGACGGAGAGCCGAGCCCCGGCCTGGCCACCCCAGCAGCGCCCAGTCGTCTCCCCCTCCGCCTCGGGGTGGCCTTACTTTAAAATGGAGGCGCCTCTTTCCCCGCAGTCGCTCCTCTCCCGCCGAGCCCAGCCGCCGCCGGCCCGCGCGAGGAACAAAGAATAATGGCGGATGGAGACGGCGGCCGGCGGAGCGAGCAGCGGAGGGAACGGCGCCGCCGCCGCCACCGCGCTTCCTCGGTGGGGAGGGAGGGGACGATTCGGCAGCGGCCGTCCAGGGTTCTGGGGAGGGGGCAGTAGCGGGAACTCTGCTCTCCCGCCACCGCCGCCTTCTTGACCTCCGCGCCTGCAGAGAAGCGGCCCTGGGCGATCGCTCCCGGCCGCCTTCCTCCTTTTGGCGTGGCGGCGCGGGAGGCCCTTCCTCTCCTCCGGCGGTGAGAAGCCTCCGTGCGCCGCCCCGCACGGGCCTGCCTAAACCTCGGCTGGTTTCGCTTCGGCCCCGGGTGTCCCGCTCGGCTGCAGTGGTGACTCGGGAGCAGCGGTTTTGCCCTGGCAGACAACCCCGTTTTTTTCCAGCTTCTCTTGCCCGCCAACCTCCTCCCCCATCGCAGCTTGGCCACCAAGCCCTAGGTAAGGAAGAGTTTGGCGGCCCAGCCCCAAAACCCGCTTGGATTTTCCCGCCCCTCCTGCAGGGAGTTCCTTGGCAGGGTTGACGGGGTTGGGGCAGCCTGGCCAAGTTAGATCTGCAGTCTCGGCCGTTCTTCCTCTGTTTCTAGAGTTCCACATAGCCCAATGTTTTAAATTCAACATTTTAATCTTTGTTACTGCCCAAAATGTGCACCGAGATTAACAAGATTTCAGAATCCCTTTCTAATAAAGTTCTTTGAATCAAGCCTACATTCTAGAACAATTTTTCCCCCTCGGCTCGCTCTCTATATATTGTGAAAGGCTGAGCCTATCTGAAACAAACTTGTATCAGCTTTTGAGAGAGCTTGGTTTCACTTTTCCTCCAGTTTCATTTTTTGTACTTCACCTGTCTAGCATAGTAATCCATGACCACAGTAAAGTTAAGAGTTATATTAAATGAAGCAATTCTTTATTAATAATATAATTTGTGCAATGATACAATGTATATTGTGCTAAACATACTATAAAGAAATCCTAGAATTAGGGCTACTAGAGTTGTGCTGCAAAACCTCAAGTGATAGTAATAGACAATATTTGTGCTTCTGTCTTGTAAATTATCTGTACTTTTGCACTCCAAATCTGCCAGCTCAATTAGAATATTTTAAGGCCTGAGAACATGTAATCATATACTATATTGTTAGCTTTCAGAGAAATATAGTTAGCACTCAAAAAATCTGATACTGTATGTAAGGGAGTTTTACACTTAAAATGTAGTTTTTTTCCAGTTTCAGATTAGTCTAACATACATTATGTTTGAATTGGTTATTTAACTATCACACCCACGTAGATTGGATATTAAAACTACAACTTTGAATTCTTCAAAACATTATTCAGCTTGTGCAGACTGGATGCTATTGACCCCTTCCAAACCTCTGAAAAAGTGCTCACGGGGATTAGAGGCTGTTTAAAAACCAGAGGCTGGCACTAGTTAATCAGATTAGGATAAACTGGGTGTCCCTGTTGATGCTGGCTGATTTAGTTAGATTTCACAGATTGCAGTCATCTATCTGTAATTGGCAGCAACATGCTTTGACAAAAAATAAAAATTGGGCCTAAAAGTGCTAAAACATAAGACACACAAGTGCTCACATTCCTTTTTTTTTAACTTCCCTAATAATTGTCCTTCAGTCCAATACTTCATGTTAGTTATTGAAAAATATCAGGATTATTGTATCAAGGTTTAAAGTAGTTTATTTGATTATATCCCATTTTTATTTTTGGTTAACTTGAGACAGTGTATATGCTGTTGCCTCCTATTTATACACAACAACCTTGTGATGTGAGTTGGGCTGAGAGAGAAATGACCCAAAGTCATCTCTATATTCTAGGCATACATTCTTTTCCATGTAGTTTAGTGCAAATAATACTATCTACTGCAGATAGTATGCAGATAGCACTGAACTACACAGGGATGCAGGAGTTGTGGTTTTGCAACATTTAGAAAGTCATAAGTTTCTCACTCAGATATAATTGGGGGAAACTTCATAACTAGAAGCTGAGATTCTTGCAATGCTGAAAGGAAAATGTTTGGAAGCTATGCCTTTAAGTCATTCAAAAAGTTCTTGATTTTTTCATATATTGAGGGTTATACTGCATTGCTATATCTTTTAGAATTTAGATCAATTATCATTTTGAGAATCATTTTGATTCTTTTGATTAGTAGGATAGTATTAATATGACAAGCACAATAATCTGGGATGCATTTATTGACTGCTTTCTTCCTCCTGTATTTTGAATAAAAGTTTCCAGTTTCTTCTTAAAGAGATTATAGACTTTGTAAACCTGTTAGCTATATAATCCTATATACTAGTCAAAGGTTAAACACCTTATTTGTTAAAATACAGTAACTGTTTTTCACATAATCTGTTACATATGGATATCATCAGAAGATAAATATTTTAAAGAAAAGTGTGTAATCTATTTTCCAAGAGATCTTGCTTGTAAGGGGAGCTTTCCATTGGATTGTCTGCTGCAAGCCATAAATGCCTTCACAAAAATGCGTCTGAAAACATTAGCAAAAAGAAAAACTTGGGAAATATAATAGGGCTAATAAACCTGGTTGCAAAAAATGTAGACTGCTAAAAGAGAGCAGGAACAAGACTTTTGGTATCTTGTTTGATTTTTCCCCAGCCTTTATTATTTATAAGTCAAAGATGATGAGACTATCTAATACTTCTTTCTCCTCCTATTGTCCTGACAATAACAACCCCAAGAGATAGGATGGGTTAAGAGAGGGTCACAGGCCCAAATCATCCAGTCAGTTGTTACTACCAACTACTAGTTATTCAGATTTTTGTACCCTGATTTAGTAGCCTTAAAAAATAGAGCTGAACGAATGTTGCAGTGGTTCAGTTTTTTGTAGACTATAATAGGCTATTGTAATTTGTTTTCAAATGAATACAGACTTTTTTTCCATCTTCATTTTTTTTGAAAATTTGACATTTCTAATTGCTACATTATATGTAAAGGTTTTTCAGAAAAATTAAATGTACTTTAGCAATGCGTTACAAGCCTAACATTGGAAAGCCTGATATTATATATCTTTTAATTTCCTTATTTAAAGTCTATTATTTAAACATGAATCCCAATCTCAACTATGAAATTCAGATTTTGTATATTTCCATCTATTTGCTGTTCACCCAATATAAAAACAAAAGATGTGACAATTTGTGTGGTCTACTTGTGGATTGTATAGAAAATTACTTTTTAACCCAATAATTTCAAAATTTCTGGAATGTTTACCTGTATCAGGATCATATTTGAAGATAAACAATTCTCATCAACTGGAGTTCTATTAAGCCATTATCTCAATGAACCACAATTGACTCTTATATCATACCAAGTCACAAATCATGGTTTATGCATCATAATAGCTGGATTAATATATTACTAAACAAGCACCAAACATATAATGTCTTGCACAATATGTGAATCAATTCATAAAGCTGCCCCAGACCAGTTACTCCTTTTTGCCCTGCATTTGCTGACAAATGATTTTCACACTTTCTTCCCTTTAATATCTGTCTCAAACTACCTGTCCCAATTAATTCATGGGGTTTTTTTGGGGGGGGGGGTCATGCCTTCATGTCAATCTTGACTCCTAGCAACTGCCTGAACTGGTACCCGCAGTTTAGCAAAAAACATTTTGGAAGTGGTTTGTCTTTCATTGACTGTTTTCTGGGGCTCAGAAGAATTGACTAGCCAAAGGTCACCTGGTTTTGTGCTTAATGGAGGACTAGAATGCAGGAACTCCCAATTTCTAGCTTGGTGCCTTAATCACTACTACAAATTGGTTGTTCGGGGTATAGCAGACAAATAGTCCTGCACACAGTGAAAATACACAGCCTATCATGATTTTGTCATAAAATACAAAGTGAAACTTTAAACTAATAGCTCTTGTGGCTGAAGTTTGAATTGATGGAAATGTGTGGGAGAAGTTTTCTTACAATTTTAATGCCTATCGATGGGTTTCTGCTAAATATCTCATCTTAACTTCATTAATGATAGCAGAAAGTCTTGTCTATCTTATGATCTTATGCCTGGGTACATTTGCTAAACTGTAAATGGTAGTTTTATTATCAAAGTAATTGGAGTCATGTAAAAAATAAGACAAAACCAGAAATGCATTTTGATTTAAGCACATTGTATAAAGTGAGAACCAAGCCTGCAACTCCTAAAAATTTGCACATAACTCAAATGTTTCCATTATAAGCACTCAGTCCAGCAAACTTAAGAATGACCAACCCAGAACATACCCAGTACTCGCAGCTTTACATAGAAGAAAATTGGTAATGCAAATATATATTTATTTAGCATATGGCAAGTAATGCAAATAGCTTAACTTAAGAGAAACATGTCCGCCATTACTCATCTGTTAAGACTGCAAGAACCATAGAGCACCCCTCTGATTCACTTCAGCAGGTTTATAGTTATACTGTAGTTTTGGTGTCTGAGTTACATGTCTCAACTGCAAACTTATGCACATCACTTGAAAGTAAGGCTGAGTTTTGGAACATTAACCTCCATTAAAATATGTAACCCATTTAAACCATGTTTATGCAAAAACTTAAAATAGCATTTTTTTGAAGAGGAAAGCAATGAAATCGATGGGTGT